GAAAGAAAGAAAGAAAGAAAGAAAGAAAGAAAGAAAGAAAGAAAGAAAGAAAGAAGCAATGCCTAGGTCTCAGAATTTCCAGGGTTCATTTGCTTTCACATTTGTTAATCACCCCAATGTAACTCTTTAAAATTAAAAAAAAGAAGAAGATTCCCACAGATGGATTTGGAAAAAACCCACCTACCCAAAGGCTGGGGGAGAGAGAGAGCAGGTCCATATTGTTAAGTGGGTTCCTGTAAGCCTGAGGCTCGTGGTTCCAGCGGGAAGAGGTCCTCAAACTGGCTTGGGAGAGGCAAACTCAGCTCCTGAGAAGGGGGAGGGAGGAAACACTGTCCCTAAAGTTTCTACAGGGCGTGAGAGAGCAGAACCCCCCCCCTGCTGGGCTGCCAAGTGGAAGGGTTTAGGGAAGGACGGGAGGAGGACAGCCACAACACTACAATCGGTCATATTTCGCCCCCCAACAGGTGGTCAGGAAGAGTTTACTGGCATGCATCAGTCAAACGCAAACGTTGGGATCAATCTATTGGAAGGAGAAATTGCAGGTTCATTTCTGTACTTATCCAGCCTGCTGCTGAGATGGCCTTCTCCGGACCCCCTTTCAACAGAGAAGGAAGAAGGGAGCTGATGGCACTAGAGAATTAAAGCCCGCCCCTTTAATCTCTGATGGGCAATGAAGTTGGGAAGGGGGCACGAGTTCCTCACCACCATCCCCACTGGTGGCTTCTGGGCTCCATACAGGCCCACAACACCTTTGCAGCAACTCTTATTGTCTCTCCAACTGGGCCTGGTGCGTTGTAATTTTTAACATGACAAGAGGGAGGCAGAAATTATTAAACGCATGGAGAGAAATGACTTAGCGTTCACTTCAGTGACCTTACATTAACTCGGTCCCACCATCACACCCACTCATGCATAGCCCTTGGTCCAAAACAGGGAATTCCCTTCAACAGAAAGGGCCCCCCTCTTCCTTGAGGTCTTACTCAGCCCCTCTCTCTTTCCTTATTCCTTCTAGGCACCAATGGAAGACCATCTCTTGGTTTGCCCAAAAGCAGGATCTACCTTCATTAAAATGAAGACCTTCAAGATCTGGAAGTTCTTCCTGACACTTATCTTATCAAGACCTAGTGCAAAGGATTGAGGGCTAGTGGAGAGATGGAAGGAACGGGTTTTTGACAACTAAAAAAAAAAGCAGGGGTGGGTGGCATTTTGACAATTAAAAAAAAAACAAAAAACAATGGGGCTCTCTCTCAAAAGCCACCCTTCCAATCCTGGAGCTCTCCTCCAAGCAACTACACCAGAGTTGGTACGATTATTAATTTGATTTTTAAATGAAGGAAGAAGCAGATTTATTCTCCAGGCATTCTATGTGGAATAAATATTCACTGCAATAAAAGCCAGTTGATTGCGCTTATGGCCTACTTTTCCAAATCTGATTGGGGGAGGGATTAAACCTTGTCAGCGCTTAGCATCCAACCTCCCTTGGCACGAAGCAAGCTTGGTGATACATTTTTATACAGGACTTGAAGGAGCGTCTATGTCGAGAAACAGAAAAAGGGATCCAAAACAAGAGAAATCTCTGATGGGCAAAACTGCAGAGTTTTGTTTTAAGGAAAGTTTCGAAGCCTGGCAAATACGCCGTTGGCAAACGCCATTGCTTGTTCAAGCCAGCACGGAGAAAAGTAAAATAGATCAGGGGAAAAAAAACAAAAGAAGAGAGGAAAGAGGACAGAGGTGAGGGGGTGAAAGCAAATCACAGATACTGGCTTTAAACGCTTACTCAATGCTCTCTGGGGGTCCGGTGAGCATACAAGGCCGTTCTGCCATCCCACCGCTGTCTGCCAAGACAAAACAGAGAAACGTCAACGGATCCTGCCCATTTTGCCACCAGCCAACTTCCTGTTTAAAAAGGAAAAGGTGGCTTCTAGACAGGGCTGCAGGTAACCCAGGCTAAAGGGCCCCTCTTTTGGAACAGCGAACCCAAGTTCCGTGGCTTTGCTATCTTAACTAAATGTTACTGGAAATTTCACTGAAAAAAGTAGAAGATCTACTTTTCAGAGCCTCCCCTAGCAATATTCATTGCTTGCAATACCCCTTAGGCAACTCCTGCAGTCAGTGTGGGCTGGTCATTTAGAGGTCTATGGAGAGAAAGAGATTCTTAGATATTTTGCTTTGTAGCTAATGGAAGACTCTGAAGAAGGAAGTGACTGGAGCATTTAATGGGCCTTAACAGAGATCAGGACCACAGGCTACCCTAATCAGTTCAGAAACCCAGATTTATCTATTAATTTTTTTGCTTTATGACCATCAAAGGCACTCTTTTCAAGGCTGTTGATGTTAGGGAAGACAGGGGAACCTTCCTCAAGCACTGTGAGAGTGTTTCGTTCATGGATAAAAGACAAGTGGATGGGGTTCCTCCGTCATGACAAGCTACGCTGGGCTAATAAGCCATGATTGGCCAGAATTGCACAATCAAGCTGGCTTTCCCAACAAGCCACCTTCTAGATGTGTGGATTAAAATTTCCAGAATGTTCAGTAACAGCTGCTGGAGGGCGCTCAGGTGAGAGAACGCCATGCTAAGCCACAGAACATGGTTTATAAATCATGACAGATGGTTCCACATCCCACAAACTCAACCAGGACCAAAACAATCGCATTATGGCCCAGTTTGATGCCTGAGCCCGGCTGTAGCCCTGGAATCAGGGGCCGGCTTGCAGATACGGGCTTTTCGGGCGCTGCCCTCTATAAATGAGGGAATGGGTTGAAGCAAGAAACAAATTACACCCCAAAAACCTCCTTACCTGGTGCAATCTGAATTTTGCACCCTGACTCTGTCTGAATCCGGGAGATCTGCTCGCCGCCCCTGCCGATTACTGAAAAAATAAAGCAACCATCAGAACGTGTCTGTTACTGTTATTCTTGTTTGTTTTTATTGCAGCAGCAAGAGTAGTAAGCAACTGCATGATTCATATTCTGCACATAATCAGTTCACAGCAGTAGCAGCTCCTGGTTACATCAGCCCTGCTTTCAGAAGAACGGGGACCAGGAAGAGGAGATGAAACATCATTTCCCCAGACCCTCTGTTTTGTTCTTCTCCCCTATCTCTCCATCTCCCAGATCCTGGATCCTGTCTCTGTTA